AAAGGAGCAAGATCGGAAAAGCCCCCTGCCTCCATCCCAGAGAAGCAGCATCTGGAGTTGTCAGAAGCCAAGGATGGATGAGCCCTCCCCTCTGAGACGTGGAGCTGCCTCCTCACTCTCCCGAGACTTCTTCCTACCTTTCTGACTGCAGTCAGTGGGAAGACCGTTTTCTCATAATTAGACTCTTTAAACCAGACAGAGTCCTACTAATAGTTCAGAAGACCAAGGTCTGGTTTCACAGGAAAGTCATTCCACAGAGACTTCTCCCTTCCACTCTGATCCAATTATTGGAAACAAAGATGCACACTGCACCTCTTTTCTAAAAAAGGGGAAAAATAGTTCAAACTCAGGGGCAGCAGAAAATGAAACCTCAGCCATTTGTCAAAAGGCCCATTAAGCCCATTATTTTCTGAAAGGAAATCTTTTGGCAGGCTTTTGTCAGTTCCAAATTTAGAGGCGCTCATTCAGGATGTGAGGGTGGAAATGATGAAGCTAAGAGAGGCTCCATTGATGCTATTTTTAAGCAGCCCATGTGTCCTCTTCGGGGGGGATGCAAGTTCATTAGGAAAGGGAGGCGGCATTGGCCGAAAGCGGCTCCTTCTGTTGCCGTTAGCATCAGCAGCTCTCAGAACCACTCGGTGGCCTACCTGCCCCAGGGCTCTTTGCAGCCCCACAGCTGGATCCTGACTGCGGCTGTAAGATTCCTGGACCCCTGCTGGGCCACTCCTGGCCTTCCCACCTGGAGCTCCCAGGGACCCCTGCTCAGCAGCCTTCTCTCTCCCTCCTCCGGCTCCTCCTCCTCTTCTGAAGGAGAAAATGAAGAGTGAGGTCATGGGGACTCACAGGGCTGCAGACTGGACATCCTCTGGGTGGGAAAGCCCTTTGTGTTTGCTACTTCTCCTAGCCTGTTGGCCTCTGGCACAAATAGCCCCTCCAGCAGCATTGCTGGCATCAGCAGGCAACAGTCTGGAGTTGGAACACACAGCTTTGAGTACCTAGTTCATAGCTTCCTCTCTGAATGACCCTCAAAAGGATAACTGTCTTCAGAATGGTTGACATACTTACCCCAAAAGGCAACTGTGAGAATCAGAAAGCACTGTTCATGGACCACTTTACTGAACCACTGAAAAATGCCCTCCACAGATTCGTGTCTACCTGGAATCTGTGAACGTGACCTTGTTTGGAAACAAAGTCTTGGCAGGTGCAATCAAGTGCAGAGGAGGTCACACTAGATTAGGGTGAGCCCTAACTCAGTGACTGGTATCCTTATAAGAAGCGGGGAATTTGGACACACACAGAGGGAAAGGAGGCCATGTGACAATGGAGACCGAGATTGGCGTGATCAGGGTCACTTAGGTTCAAGACAAGGAATGCCAAGGATTGCTGACTACCATCAGAAACTAGGAACAGACAAGGGGGGGTCTTTGGAAGGAGTCCTGGGTCCTTTGGAAGGAGCTGAGCCCTGCTGGCATGTTGATCTCAGACTTCTAGTCTTCAGAACTGTGAGAGAATAACTTCTGTTGGTTAAGCCACTCAGTTCGTATTAATTTGTCATGGACGCCTTAGCAAACTAATATAGACACCCTTAGCATAGAACCTGGCAAATATTCACCACACAATAAACACACTGGTTTTTTCAATAGCTAGCAATGTTTCTGAAACATAATAGGTACTCAATAAATGCTTGCAGAATAAAATGAGTAAATGTTAAAGCATCACTTTGAAGTGTATTTTAGAATATACTTCTAAATTTTAAAAAGCTTTATGCGGAAAAATATTTATACTAGTATGATATTTAATGTTAAAATTTTTTTTAAATTTAAAGTTCAAGAGTTGCATAATATTTAAGCAAATTATGGTACACCCATATGGCAGAATTACATGTAGTAATTTAAAACATTCATAAAGATTTTAATATTATTATTGAAGACTGCTGTAACATAAAATGTATTATTTTGATCTTATAAAATTTTTTAGTATCATAGAAAATGTTTTGGTGAAATGAAAATAATATAACTATGTTAGTTTATATTAAAATACATATTAAAAAGCTGTAGTAGTTATCTATGGGTCCCTGTAGCTGATTTTATTTTCTTTTCTGTACATTTCTTTTCTATATACATTTGCTATAGTGTTTATTACATTTATGATAAAAAGAAACTTTATATTTAAAAATCTCAGGTTGCTATATATATATTACAGTATATAATTATCCACTATTGCTTTCACTGAAGCACAGATTTTGCAAACTACAATAACGTGTGCTTCTGTCTGGTAACAGCATTTACAAAATGAATTACTTGGGAGCAAGCTGGTATCTGCAGCATGAAGAATAATCATCAGTGGGCTTGAGAAGGCCTGAATCTTAGAGAGAGCTGTGTTCCCATGAAATGATGACCGAGGCTCTGCCTCAGCTGGAAACTCTTAAGTCCCATGTGAATGCTCACATTATGCTCATTATTGTACTAAGAAACTGGAGGCGGGAAAGAAATTGAAGCCGAGAATTCTAGAGTTTAAAGAAGAATCAGTGGTCATCTAATTCAACATCCTACCCAGAGAATGAATCTTCTCTACAATAAAGCCAGCTGGGCACCATGACAGAACATGACTTTGGTGCCTCCAATAAAGTTAGTGTGTGCACAGCCTCACGGGAGCTCCCTCCCCTTGAATTTGCTCTGGCCCAGTGCCTGGCTCCAAGCCGCAGAAGATGGAGAAAGTGACGCTAGGCCAGTTCTAGGCATAAACCTGAACTTCTCTTTTGTCTGGATGAAGCCAGCCAGGAGCTAAGAAGTTTGACCACCCTGTGACCACAATTCTGGGAGATGCCAATCTAGCCCTGTGTAGCAGCCACATGGAGGAGAAGAGAGGCCTGCAGCCAACAGCCCCAGCTGTGCTTCTAGCTGATGACAAGACCAACCCGCCAGCCCTGAGTGAGGTCACTTTCAGAGTGGATCCTTTGCGCCCCCAGATGGCACCGCGTGAACGGTCCTTACCGAGCCCTGCACAGATTGCAGAATCCTGAGCAAATCAATTAAATGGTGGCTGTTAAAGCCACCAAATTTTGGGATAGTTTGTTGCGCTGCAGTAGATAACCCAATTACATTTGACTTTTATATCATCCAAGGTGAATATGTTTCAGTAGAAATTCCATGAGATATTTGAGACGTTGTTGTTCACTTGCCCAATTGTGTCCAGCTCTTTCCAACACCATGGACTGCAGCACACCAGGCTTCCCTGTCCCTCACCATCTCCCAGAATTTCCCCAATTTCATGTTCATTGCCTCGGTGATGCTGCCCAGCCTCATCCTCTGACATACTTTTACAAAACATTATTGTATATACTATTGCACAGGACACACTTACACTAAAAAATTGTTTGTCAGATATCTATGCAATCTGACATACAGCAAACAATTTTTTAGTATAAGTACATCCCAAATATCATGTGGGACATACTTATAAAAATAATTACTGACTGTATAAAATTCAAGTGTAACTATACTGTGCCTACACACTCAGTTGTTTCCAATTCTGCTGCCCCATGGACTGTATACCACCAAGTTCCTCTGTCCATGGGATCTTCCAGGCAAGAATACCAGAGTGGGTTGCCATTTCCTCCTCCAGGGGATCTTCCCAACCCAAAAATCGAACTTGCGTCTCTTACGTCTCCTGCATTGGCAGGCGGGTTCTTCACCACTAGTGCCACCTGGGAAGCTACTGGTAACTAGATATCCTGTATTTTTATTTGCTAAATCTGGCAAGCCTACTTCCAGTGTGCTCAGCCATGGAAGGGGCACCTTAGCTACCTTACCTTGAATATTCCATTAGCTGCCTCTTGCTCTCAGGACAAACCCTCAGCCTGGGCTAAGGTCCATTGTGATCTGTCTTATTCTGCTGCTTCCCACTGTTCCTCACCCTCCAGCCCCACCATGAGCCCACCAACCCTCGAGCCCACCGGACTTGGTGTCCCTTAAGTACTGAATTACGTCCAGGGTCTCTGAAATGTGCACACGCTCATCTCCAGATTTGTATTGGATAGCAAATAACGTTGACCCATTTCCAGATCCCTGTTAAACTACCTCCGTGGGCTTCCCAGAGCCTGCAGGGCAAGGCCCCTGGGGACTAGCAACAGGGCAGTTCCTGGGTGATCGAGTGGCTACTGTGTCTTTCTGTGACTCTGAGTGTGTGTGTCTTTCTGTGACTCTGCGTGTGACCCCCAAGTGGCTCCCCTGGTGGCTCAGGCGGTAAAGAATCTGCCTGCAATCCGGGAGACCCAGGTTTGATCCCTGGGTGGGGAAGATCCCCTGGGGAAGGAAATGGCAACCCACTCCAGTATTCCTGCCTGGAGAATTACATGGACAGAGCAGCCTAGTGGGCTACAGTCCATGGGGGTCACAAAGAGTCAGACACGACTGAGTGACTAACACTTTCCAAGTGTGCATGTCTTCCCGGGTTGTGGGAGGCTGGGACTACCATGGGAACGTGGCTGTGTGGCTGGATCTTGGCTGGCAGAGGCCCATGATGGTTCCTTCCTGGCCCTTGGATTGTGGCTGCAGACATTAGGACTGGATCAATATAAAGTTATGAGAGCCAGTGAGAGCAGCATGACATCATGGCTGAGAACAGCGGTTCTCAAACCCTGACTTTTTCACACTCTGGCTGTGTGACCAGGGGCAAGTCTCTGAACATCTCTGAGCTTCAGAGTTCCCATCTATAAAATCGGAAATGTTAATCATCTCTATTTATTGAGGTTGGAATGCCAGTTACATGAGCTTATCTTTGTGAAGCAACAAAAATACTGCCTGGCATGAGTAAATAGTAACTTTCAGTAATTCTATCACTTCTCATTTTCTAGCTCTGAACACACGGTATTTTATTTGGCTGTTAACTTTCCACCTCAGTCCCCCATTGGAAAGATTTTGGTGAGCAGAATTTCTTATTTACCTTTGTATACGTGGGATGTGGGGGAACAAAAGGCACAGAAAGTTCTTAGTAGATATTTATCCTAATTGCCAAGATGATGGCAGAAACTTGCCTTGCAGATTATAACAGAATTGTCTTTCAAAGTGACATTTAAGCTGCATTTTGAGGGACGAAAGAAGCTTTGCAGGCAGAAATAAGTGATTAGAAATTCGAGAAGAGCCGGGCAGTTGTTGCGAGAATGGTTTTGGAGGCAGTGTCGAAGCACAGAAGCACTGGGAGTGGTCATCTGGGGCTCTAATGTCATCTGCCAGGAGTGGCCTTGGCTGCCTTGCCAGCATCAGCCCATCCCTGCAGGATTTGAGGCAGATGCGAACATCAGGGATGTTACCGGGCCGGGTGAGGAGGTTGTCCTGAGGGAGGCAAGTGTGGAAACAGGGAGAAGAGCTAGGAAGCTGCTGCAAAGGCAGAGGTGAAGGATGTTGGGAGTCAGAATCCCACTGCACAGGGCAAGGAAGGCTCCATGCAGCCCTGCACATCACCACGGACACGTCCCCAGAGCAGGAGCTGAGAATGGTGTCCCCTGCTCCGAAGGGCCTGTCCTGGACAGAAGAGAGGTGGGAAGAGGTGGGTTTAACAGGGTGGGTTTAAATCCCTTCGGGAGTACGCCCAAAGGGATGTGGAGCCTCGCACCCGGGTCTGCCATCTCCATGGTTTTCGGAGTCGCCTACATGTATTCATCCATCATGTAGAGTTGGCAACAGGATTCGCAAAGCCTCATTCCTAGACTTTTCTGAGCTTCCGACTTGTGGCTTCCGGTTCAGGGGTCCACAAGGAGAGTCACAAGAGCAATGTAAGTAAAATCTGAGGAACAAGAAAGAGATGAGGTAAATCTTAAGGGAGGTTTAAACTTTTCTCTTCCTCTTATACCCAGACTCTGCCCGACAGCGTGCCTGCAGAACCGGCGCTGCCCTCGGGAAGGAGGGACCCGGTGCTGCTGAGTATACTCCTCCTGCCGCCCATCATTCTAGAAGCTGTCACTACCCAGTGTCCCCTTTGCTCAGTATCAGCCTCTGCGAGGAGTGCCATCAGCCCATTTCACAGATGCAGATGAAACCAGCCTGGGACCTGGGACACTTTGCTGCGGTGCTGCCATGATTGCACCTGGACACACCTCTTCTTGAGCAAGGAAGTAAAAAGAAACTGTCTGGGACTAAAAATAGCTGTGCACATGTCCATCGGGGCAAATTGTGGACCCAAAAGATACAAAGAGACTAAAAAACACAACTGCCACTTTTGAAGAGCCTGGAGCAAAAAGCAGGAGGTCAGGAGTAAAGGCAGGGTATTGTTCATCCTGCCTGCCCACAGCACCACCTAAGGGGTGGGCAAAACTCGTCAACCACCCCTCCCGCCCAACCCCGGGACACACTCCATATAAGGAGCAAGCACAAAAGGAAATCTGTTGTTCGTTCTCGCTCCCCTCTGGTACTCAGGGGTCCCACTAAAGCCTTGCCTGAATTTCCTGTCTGGCCTTTAGTTAATTTCCATTGATTGGGGAAGGTCAAGAACCCCTGTGGGCAACATAAACACAAAGGCTCAGAAAAGTCACATGCCTTGACTGAAACCACTGTGCTCATAAGTAGCAGAGTCAAGATTGAAAATCGAGGCCATACTTGGCACTATACCATCAAACGGGGACCTGCAGTGGTGCCACTCTGCTTCACTTCTCAGAAGCTAGAGGTCTTGCCCAGGGCCATCTTTCCCTCAAGTAATCAAAGCCCCAGAGGCTTTCAAGATTCCTGGGCTTCTTTGCACTTACAGTCACCTCCACAAAAAAACTTAAATGGACTTGGCTAAGGACGTGGCCAAGGTCCTAAGAATGTCACCATGTGGAACCTCAGTCTCCTCCCTGGAGACCAAGGTCTGGCCCCGAGCTGGTGTCACTGCTGAGTGGAGGCAGGGACCCCGGGAGATGGGCAGCCTCTGCCCCCACAGCTTCTGTCTGGCCTCTCTGTTCCTCTGTCTTGTCTCTCTCAGGCTTCTCCCCTTTTTCTGCGATTTCAGGGTTTCTGAGGTGGATTTCCAGGTGAAGTGACAACTGAGATCATAAACTGGAGGTTTTAAATGAAACAGGAGAAGAAATGGGCTCCACCAGCCTTTAGCCACTGTCACCTGCATTACTTACATGAAAATATGCACATTTCTTCCTTTAATTCTAATTAAATCCAGTTTTAGGAAGAACCATGGGATCCATAAATATGGTTTCAGAGCAGAATCCATAATAAAAGCAATGAGGGTGCAAAGTCAGGCGTTTCTTTTGTGTATGTGGTTTTCATTTGAGAGACAAAGAGCTTCAGATGTCAAGGAAAAAGAAGGAGAAAGAATTTAGCAATGAGCAGATGCAAATGAAACAGTTACTCTGCAACAAATGGATATGCCAGACACATAAGGCATAGAGGGTTTCAGGGGGAAATTATAGCTCAGATCCAGGAAGATCAGATAAGATATATGATATTGCTTGTAATTGTATTTTACTCTGATCCTCACTAGGAAAGAGACAGAAAGTTTGACTTTCTGTCTCTTACCCTGGTCTTTAGCTTCCTCTTGACCAGCCTCAACTTTGGGTTACTTCTATGTGGATGTTGAAATAACTGTGCACTTCTCAGTCATCCCACGAAGCCTGTCCATAATGGCCCTCCCCTGGACAGGTGTGGCTGATCCTCGGAGCTCCACTATTTACCTTGATGTGCTTCCCAAGCCCCTCTAGAACCACCTGGGCAGACACACAGCCCGCCTCTCTGGACCACCTGTCCTACTGAACTTGGCCTCAGTTTGCCAAAGCTGCCTCTACACCCACCTCACACAGATAGACTTACGTGTGTGCACACACACATCCACAACACACATCCACAACATCCACACAACACATGCAAAACACACCACACACACACAGTCATCCTTTGCCTGCCCGAGGATGTAACATGATCCCGTATCCTGTTTCTCCCCTTTGCTTGGTTCTCACCCTGGAACTGGGTCTGATCCGCCTGCCTTGAAGTTCCCATCAGCAGAAATTCTTCAAACCCAGGGAACTGATTCCTCATGCAGCTGTGACCTGGTCCTGCTACAGCGGGGCATGTGGAAAGCTGGGATTCAAGCCGTGTCTGAACGGTGGAGACATTAATCCAGAGTGAGTCGAACCCTCTGAAAAGAGACCGCCTCTGGCCCAAAATCGACTCACCTCATGCTTGTCATTGAATCCAAAATCGTACCACTGAGGGGTCACTGCGGAGTGTTTGAGTTGTTTTTGATGATGCAATCTATCACTTACCACATACTCTCTGTGCAAACCACAGCCCTCCATACATGTATCACCCTGGAAGGAAAATGTGTCGGATCATCAGATTCTCATAAACTGAGGCATGCGTGGGCTCCGACTTAGATTTTCCATCCGGTGAAGCTCAGAGCTCACTTGGGGACTGTTCTTTTTGCTCCCTGACACTTATATTGAAAGCTCATCTGACCCTTCACTTCTTTGTCGATTGGTTAATGATCTGAAAATCATCAGAACCGGAAATTCAGGCAGTCTTGGTGTAATTTGAAGACCTATCACTAATGTGTGTGTTTTTTTTATTTCAGGCTTTAATCACCCATATAATTATCATTTTTTAATGAACTGTCAATCAAAGACACACTATAAAAGGTATGTCTCCCCTGGATTGAATTGTGGAACAAATGCAATCTGCTAAATGTGGTTCCTCTCTCTCCCCTTTCATTTTCAGCCCAAGTATCTAAGTTTCCTCCATAGTACATTCAGGAAGCTCAGGGTTTCCCAGCTGCCATCCTCCCCCACACTCCCCCCTCTCTCTCCTTCTACCCTAACCACCCAAGAATCTCTTAAGAGCCTTTACATTAGGAAAATAGCTCACAGAAGGTGAGGTATGGGGGAGAGGGCGGGCAGGGGTGGAGGGAGAGTCGTTAGGGACAACTTGGCCCAACTCCCTCACCCTGAGGCTGGGAAGTCTGAAGACCAAAGTCAGTAGAATCTTGGAAGCTGGAGGGAAATCTCAGCAGGAGGGTAGGGGTAGGGAAAGTAGGATGGGGAAGGGACCCAGGAAGGCGAGGAGCCGGGAAGGGGAGAGGCAGGGTGGAGGATTTCACAAATGCCTGACAGCCCGGAAGAATTATGCTTTAGCCTTAAATCACACCCCGCAGGCAGTTCTAATCAAAATGCAAACTCTAAATATAATTCACATGAAGTATGTTCCGGAAATCTTTTGCCTAAATATGCCTTCAGTTATTAAGACACTTTCGTTGGGGCTTGCTTTCTCCTCAAAGGCAATGTCTATATCTCGGCAGCAGAAATGTGGGTGATTTTTCTCTTTAACTTTCCTCTTTGAACTCTCTCTGCCTTGTGTGAATTCTTCACAGTAAGCATACATAATTTTTACAAAAACTATAAAGAACATTTGAAAATAAAAATTAGAATATTTTAATAATCTATTTTATCTTAATTATACAGGTAATGACAGCTTTGCAGATCCGACCTTGCAGAGTTGGGTTAAAAGCTAAAAATACAAGATGATAGCCAAAAAAGCAGTTTAAAATTTTATAATATAGATCATGATTTATGTGAACACCCTTTGGAGCAATTCTAAATGTCCACAGGCACATCCTAGTGTGGTCAGTTCTAGAATCAGCCCAGAATGGAAAGAACTCTTTTGGAGACCACCATGAATTTGCTGGGGCTTGCTGTTGACCTGTAATAGTCAAGGACTTCTAGCTTTATCCAGAAAGATACACAAGAACTGTTTGCAATGGTTGGGAAGAAAAGAATCCAGATAACTTCCAATAGTAAAGCAATAAAATTAATTAACAGCAGCTGCTGCTGGAAAATGGAAAGTGGGAATTTGTTAATACTTTCCTGAATAATTTAAGCCAAGCAGTCTATATAATGCCTAATGGATAGGCAACCTTCCATAGATATCTTCACTGATTATTGTCATAATACATTCCTCATAATATACTCCTCAGGACTATAATTCCCACAATGTACCACTTCTCTTCTTGTCTGCCTACAACTCCCAAAATGCACTGCCCCCCTACCATCCAGCCTGCTTGCCTATTCATTGCCCTTCTGGGAGAAGTAGATATGAGAGCTGGTGGGGAAAGGAAAATACAGCCCCCAACAGAGAGAAGTAGCTGACCACACTACATCCCTAAATTAGGAGATAGAGTGATTAAAAAAAAAAAAATTGTCCTGATTTTGTTCCAGAGAAGCCTGGGAGTATCATCATTGACTCTCTAGAATTGCTTGTGTTTATTTGCCTGTTCAGTTTTGCAGCTCTGTTTTGTGTTAAAACTGATGTCAACTCCTCCAGGATCTTGGTATTATAAGATGCCTGTTAGTTACGAGTGTTTCATGTTGCAATGAGTTTCACTATTTTGCTGTTTTTATGGCTGTGTTAGTGAGAAGTTACAGGAGGGGCTACATGATTTCAGATTGGAAATTGGGCCAGATTTCTGTGATTCTTCCAGTTGT